CTCCTAAAAACGGGCTGTGCCAGTAGTCTTTTTCGGCTGAAGATCACTTAAACTATATCCCATCACCATTCATCGACCTGTTCTTCCACCACACCCGTACACAAAATGAACTGACTGCTCCTCTTCATGCATCCAGCTGCTTAAGGTACCACCTGGAAACGTTTGCCACACAGTGAAAGAAATAATGAGGATATGTAAAATCGGCGCGCAACATTACTACAAACAACACGTACGTATGCAAACAACAAACACTGAAGCAACTGCTAAAACTCGACTCGACTAAACAAAACGCATTCGTTTTTGGCCGTCGGAAAGTTACAAAAGTTATAATGGCATTTGTACGGCAAGCTTCTTTTTTAACCAAAATTTAAGAACAACAAATTTAAGATGCCGCTGATACTCGCGTACGAAGCCAACAGTGCTCAAAGAAATCAGAAAAGTCGATGGACAAGTACGTCAGATTCCGTTTGTTTCAAAATAAGTCCTCTGGGCAAGGTAGATAAACATTTTGATCGACAAATAAAACTATGAATTTTCCAGCTCCCTGATACTAACCCAACCAAAATCAACAGAAATCCGTAAATAAAAAAGAAATCGGAGAGTGCCTAACAATGCGCACTGGTTCGGCTAAAGGGACAAATCAGCCAAACTCAAAACACTTTACACGTCTGTTTCTAGCTCACTTATAAGCGCCGTGAGCAGCTGTCAAACTTCCCCCAGAAGTTTATTATGATACGTTGCAAATGAAAAGATGAAAAAACCCACCACTACACAACAGTTGAAGATGCGTATGTGATGAATGCATAGCCCGTCACAACCCGACCCTCTTCTGTGCATACACTAATTTGCTGAATGCATAAAAATGAGGTGCTGCTTAGATCAATGACTGCATAGGTGTGCACTCAAATTTCCATTAGCTCAGCAACGTCATGACGAGTAGCATAATCAAAACCATGAGGAGCCTAAATTAAAAATAAACTCTGAGCCCTTTAAATGAATTTTAAGTCTTCGTCCTTATAAAATATAGAGAGAATGGTACGACGATTGCTTTGAACCAAGTTGAAAGGGCGACGTGAACATGCTGATTAATAATGTGGCTGATCTTGATCTTGATCAGATGTAAAGCAACGCATCGAGATATTCCAAAATCCCCACTTTACAAGGAGTTTTCAAGAGTGGAAAAGTTAATTTAAATAATGCATTACGCAATTTTCCAAACCAAACCTCATAACATGACTTATGAGAAAGACTTCAAAAAATTCAATGGACCGAAGCATCTTATCTCATTCTTACCGCCTCTCCTCAACAGCACTTTCACCAATTAGCCTCCAAGACCAAATCTGGCTTCTAGGAATCTTTCATAAACCCGCAAAACGGATCAGTTCCCAATCAAAAACCTCAACTTATTAACACCACATTCCGTACGAATGTGACACTGTGAATAACTTGGAAAAAAAGAAAACGCCAAAGTCCTCGCAAAATTGTATGTGAATTTCTAGGAACAAATTTAGCCCTTTCGTCCATAAACTCAGAAGATAATGCATTTTCGTTCTTAAACCTACGAGCACTGGTCACCAAATTCTTGTTAAAATCCCTCCATCTAATTTTAAGCACGGAAATAATTTTAAGCACGAAAACCAACAAATCAAGTTAACATAGGAAACAATCCCGTCTCCTTCTCTCGAACATTTTCATTATCTTTGTACTGAACAACGCCCCTCCCCCCCCCGCCCCCTCTCAAACTATGATTCAACAAAATTCAAAAATGCACACATAAGGAAGTAACAAAGTTACTGACGGCAAACTCTCCGCATGCACAGTCCGGTCTGCTTGTTTACAGCTAAGGGATGAAACACAGGAAGACTGCATCGTAAAATATCTTTTTGTACATGACACCTAAGTCGAATCTTTCCACTCTACTATTCATCCAAATACAGATGGTATTTCAGTGAAAGAAACTCCCCCTCACAAACAGTGCAGCCTTCAACTGGAGCAAACTCGAACGATGGCCTCGCAGCAGTACACGTATTAAAGTTTAAACGAATTTAAAACACAACACGAAAAGGTGCGCCATGCGATAAATACTATCTTAAGAAATGCAGTAATGTTTAAATCAATTCTTTAAATTGAGAACACAAAATGTTTAAAGGCTTGACCTAATTACAGAATTGAAGACCACAGGCAGCACTGCGTACCCAAACACGAAGCTAAAAGTATCCTTCTCCCCCGTCCCGGTACCAATAACTGTAAAAAGGAATAGCGAAACAACCAAGAAGATGAAGAGAGTGTGGAAAGCCGAGATTTTCGAAAACGACGAAATTCTCAATATCTCCGAAAAATGCGTTTCTGGAAACAAATACAAATGACTTACCGAATCGCAGCACTTCGCAATAGTTCGCGGATGTGGAAAACACACGAACACACAGTGATTTCGAACAAATGTACCGGGAAATCTGCCGCCGCGAAAGCGCCGTATCGCCAAATATTGCCACTGCATACTTTATTTTGCCGACCAATGCCAAATAATACCGCGCTGCGTTTCATCGAGCATCGACTGTCAGGCCAAATAATGCCGCGTTTCACCAATACGCCGACTGATCGCACTACGTTCCATCGAGCATCGATCGTCGAACCACATCAGTACTAATTCGTCAACAACAGCATCGTAACGTCGCCGATGTCCATCCCGTTCAAGACAATCGCCAATGACGAGGACGCCAATGACGATGCCAATCACGATAATCCGATCAGCCGACCAACCCGATCAACCATATCGCGAAGCCCAAAAATCAAACGCTGCCAAAAAAACCACTGAACATCTCCATGACCCAATCCAAACTATCGATCATGCCCCAAACATCTGCTCCAACCATCAACTGCGCTATATTGCGTCCACACATAGACTGCAACGCACCATTTCCGATTGGTCGCACAACGCCACATTAGTCGACCACGTCACTCCTGCCACACGCCACCATCCCACGTCGACCACGTCATTCCAGCCGCGTCAATGCTTGCGTTGACCACGCCACTGCAGCTAAGTCGTCCACACGTCATCAAACACAGCGACCACGTCACTTCAGCCAAGCCAACCGGATGCCAACATTTACGTCGACTACGTCGCTCCAGCCACGTCATCCACATGGTACCATCTATATCGACCACACGGCTCCATCCATATCGACCACACGTCATCATTCATATCGACCGCACGGCACACCCTACACCAACCACGTTGCAACATGCATAGCATCCACGTTAACCACGCCACTGGTCGAATGGTGCCACCTCTGATCGCCACGTTCCACGACCCACATCGCGCTCCCATGCAAACCCATGATCTTCCTCGACCAAGGACCACCAAGCCCCATGCCACGTACAACCACCACCTCGAACTTCCTTGACCACCGAAACCACTGCTCTCCGACGACCCGACCGCTCCGCGTTCCTCCACGGCGAGCAATGACTCGTTTCGCTGGAACTCACGCCTTATATACGCCTCAAGTGTTCGCGAATGTTCTTAGCAGTGCAATCAATTCGCGCCATCGTGAAAATAACATTAGCAGAGAATTAGAGTGCGAAAATAGTGTGTGCTCTGCGGAGGGTCAGGCATACAAACAGCCCGGTGGTTGTCTGTCGCTCTGCGTCGCGCTTCTTCCGTGCTCTTTCAACTGTCTGCGTGTCTGTCACATGCTATTTCGCCATTTGCTTGAGCTGGCGAGCAAATCGATGATTGGCCGGCGAGGGGAACAGCGAGCGAATGAGGATTTTCGTGTAATGGGAGCATCGAACAGCCGTTTTTCCCCCAAAGAACATACGATAATACAAACACACATCAATTGGGCAGCTTTTATAGGACTTGGATTCAGCGGGTTTTGTTGACAACTTACGTGACAACCACGTGTCGGCCACGTGAAAATTGCGTGGCGCACACGTGCGGTGCACGTGAAGTCGCAGCAGAAATTTCGAGTGGGATATGTCGGACAATTGTTGTCAAAAATTTTCACTGTTTTACGAATTGGTTTATGTAAAAATTTATGTAAAAATGTTGGTTTATGTAAAAATCGTCGAAACGCTGTCTTTCCTCTCCCCTTCCTTCCCCCAAGAATTTTTACGTGTCCGTACGTGAAAACTAAGCGTAGCTGAAAAAGTGAATCAAGAATTCCAGGATTGCAGATTAATATTCTAAAATCTCATGTTTCTGCCTTCTGCAGGCTCGAAGCGTTGTTGTGTTCCCCTCCAAAAATTTTATGTGTCCGTACGTGAGAACTTAGATGAAAAAGTGAATTTAGAGCTCGAAGATCACACATTAATATTCTAAAATTTCATCTTTTTCCATCTTTAGGCCCCAAGTTAAAAAAAATTCGTGAGAAATATCGTAAGTTTAGATCGAATGTGGCTGATTTAAGCGATCTGAGTTAATATAATCGTGATTCCATGGTATGCAGTACCAATCAAATCACGTTACAGTGTCACACAAGTGTAATTAAATTGTCTAAAATCTCATGTTTCTGCCTTCTGTAGACCCCAAGTTAAAAGAATTCATGAGAAATATCGCAAGTAGATCGGTTGTGACTGATTTGAGCGATTTGGTATAACATAATCGTGATTCCTGGGCATGCAGTCGCAATCAATTCATGATTCAGTCCCATACAAGTGTAATTTGTGTTTTGAATTCACCGAGAATCATGATTAAGGGGACTAGGGAAGCATGGGTGATTTGAAATGAAATAATCGTGGTTCCAAAGCATGCAATTGTAATCAAAACATGTTACAGTGAGTGTCACGTCAAAGGGCTAGGGAAGCATGGTCAAATAATGATTTGTGTTTGTGGAATCGTACTTAAACCGTGGCTGGAGGCCAAGAAATCGTGAATCACATCATGGGATCATGATTAAATCGTGATCCGAAGCCATGAAATCATGAGCTGACGAAAGTGGGTCATGATGTTAGGCGAAAACTGAAAACATTTGAGCATACGGAATTTCTGAAGTACTGGCTTATGTCAGTATTCCGCTGTTGTTTGCTTTTTGAAAAAAACACAAAGTACATGCTGCACAGATTCCATAATAGTTCCGGGAACAAACGGACAACGTCAACCGAAACAAATAACGAGGGCTTCTTCCCGGGAATATTTGCCCCTCGCTTCTTCCCGGGTGATCGACTAAACATCTTTCGAAACATACCACCCAGGATTTTCGAAAATATGCAGCACGATGAAGAATGACGCAGCCAGAAATTGGTGGGGAAAGAGGGGGATGGGGAGATGTTGGGAGTCGAAAAACAAACTTTCACCAGATGGTACAACAGGAAAGGAAAGTTTTTTAGACAGGGAGCCTGGAAGAGCGATGAGGTGAAGGAGCTAGGAAGGACGATGGGAAGAAGTGGAAGGAGAGTGGAACGGACAGGAGCTAAAATCGATGATTTTCGAAAATGCACCTTGCACATGACTCACACACGGCCGAGAAAACGAAGCATTTTCGAAACGGGTGGGGATCAGCTGTCCGATGGTGCTGTTTCGAAAATCATCATGCCTCTGACGTGAACACATGTGAGGATGAATGAGGCGCGTGACTCTTGGGAAATATGAGGCCCATGGCCAAGTTGATTATGTGAAATACAATTGAATTGAATAGAAATGTATTTTGAAGTAGGAAGAATGAAAGAGAAAATAATAAGTCATATACATTTCTTACCATTACCACAACTGGACCTCGCGTCGATACGACGATTATAGTAATTGTGATTGTCATAAA